TTATTCACAAAGCAATCGCTGCCACTGTCCCCGAAATCAGGCGTCATTTACCAGTTTAAATGTGGATGCGGAGCTTCTTACATTGATGGAACAAACAGGCAGTTGCATACACGGATCCAGGAGAACATCCCACGTTGGGTTTGAAGCCGATTGACCGAATCACACGATCAAAGGTCATTCTCCAATTTAACCCCTAAAACCCGTGCACAAGCATCACCCACCATAAATTCCCGCTGCTTTTCAGTCAAAGTTAAAGTTATCAAAGNAGAAAAACACCTTCGTCGGGGTGTGCTTCCGCGAAGTATACCGAGCCCCAAAGTCTTAGGTACCTATTTGGAAAACCATCACCAACCACTAACATACTCCGTAACATTACACCAGTACCAACTCACACCTTTAACCAAGGATGTCGAACACACAAACAGCCTACGTCACCTATCGCTCGACATCTGTTGATGACGAATCATGCCGATTTAAGATCAATTATGCTAACACCAACCCCCAGCTGCTTAGGTTTGCGGAGTCGGTTGCAATCGGGAAACGGAAACTTGACCCGTGTGTGCAAAACGAACTGTCAGTCACACCGTCGCTGCCTTGACAGTGGTAAAGAGGTGATGATTCGTCCGTGTCTTACTCGTGTGTACCTTGATTAACTGCTCAACGATATAAACTGTAGTTTTCTGCCATATAAGATCAGTTGAGACGCAGCGAAATCTACCTTGGCATAAATAGCTTTGTTGTACTCTCTTTTAATATAACACTTAATACACTAGTGCTGAGATGGCAGTTCGAAAGCCGCCGAATGATTGGTCCGTGACCAAGCGAGCCAAAGGTGTTGGCTTAAGACAGGTGCGTCAAACGAACAGCATCAACGGCTTTGGCTAGTGCGAATGCAATGGCATCAAGCGTAGATACTCATTGATTCCAAACAAACGGGGTAGGGATGTTTGAATCAAAAAGTGGCGTCAAACGATGTAATGCAATATTTTCCAAAACTTTCAGTAGCACAAAGGTCCCGTCAATCGATATGTGCCTTGTAGATCGATTATTTAGGAGGGGTGGGGTAAGGTGCGAAATATTTGAGTAAATCGCCAACAGCCGAGGATGGTCTCAGAGGCTATGCACGAATTTGGTAATTGATAATGCATGTTGTTTAGCAGAGGTTTTCACCACAAAAGGCGATACCGGAAGTGTGTGACAAGCTGAGCCGATCTTCGGTCACCTTAGGGCCTTCAGAACAATAGACACGAAGAAAAAATTCTTCGGGTGATGAAAAAGATGGGAGGAGCACGATCTTTTCTGCTAGTCAAGTACTGCTACATCAGAGTAGGAGTGGTCCGGAGCCCCACAGAGCTGTTCCTGAGCTGATCACATTTAATGACAGTCCCTGCTGTCCAGAATATAAATAAATAAATGTATTTACTTCCTTTTTCTATTCATTGAATAAACAAATGTACAGTCAACTTCCAGGAAGGGGGTTGCATCCATACAAAGGCTGCCTGGGGAAAATACAGATATAGGGAAGACGAGTGGCGGTGGAACGGTTTGAACCCGGGACACCCAGGTCACAGGTTGGTGACCTGACTACTTGGCCACCAACGATATAAATGTGATTCCAGTAGTTCAGTTCTGAAAAGAACTGATAGCTGTTTTTTAACGTTTAACGGGCCAGGGCTACAAGCTTTTCTTTACTACGACAGAGGCTCTTATTCGAATAGATGAAAATCGGTTAGTTCAGAGTACACTTTTCTCGTGCAGCAGATTCTCGACTTTGTCGATTTTTCCGACACGTAAGCGGATGTTACTTGAAATTATCGATGGAACAGACATCTATTCTGATTTTGGGACGACGACGTAGAACGATTTGTCAGCTTGCACGATGTTCACATCGACCACATTAGCCGTAATAAATGAGCTGTTTGTAGCAATTTTCCGCAGAAGTGGCACACTTCGAAAAATCAGCAATTGATGGGATAATGCACAATGGCTTATAAGGTGAGAATTTGTAGGTAAACGTCTGGCCTCGAGAATTATTCTGTTTGATGGAAAAGTGCACACGGAGAAACAAAACTCGATTTTCCATTACAAGTTAACCAAAAGTTCTAAAGTAAAGAAAAAGGCACGGTTGAGATTCAAATACCTTGTGCATTCTCACTACAGTTTGACGTTTGTTAAATCAATAGATCCGTAAACATGGTACTATAAAAATCAGAAAAACCATGGTAGGATATCAAATCGAATTGAGACCACTTTCGTTAACCAGCTTATTTTTTTAGTTCATGTGCTGACTCAAACATGTACCTTGAATCCTGGTTCATTCGTAGTTAGAACAAGACCATTTTCCGATCTGACACAGACGTCGATAAAAGTTAACCAAATCCAGCCATGCATAGCCGGCAGACTGACCCAAATCTCGAAATCTATTTTGTTACGGTACACGCGGTGAGCGCTATCTTATCTAGTCTTAACCCGCTCATAGACAGCAAAGCCCATCTCCGTTTATTGCCCGGTCCTAAAAACGCACCTGAGAATTTAGCGCAACTCGAATAGAGAAATCAGAAACATAGGTTTGCAAAATGCATCTATGGTAATTTCGTTGCATCAGTACACGTGCATACTGCAGTCAAAGTCAAATCAAACTGTGTTAACCAATTCAAGTGTGGATGCTTGGCCACAGCAGGACAGAGAGGCAGTTACATAACCTAACGGCTCATCACATTCCCTTATGTCTTAGGAAAGTGATGGACGATAAGTTTGAAACAGCTGCATCATCGAATGAGCAGAAAAGACTTAGGTCATCGATAACACGACACTTCTTCGAACACTTATTCCAACTGAAGCATTTCAAGTCATCTAAAACACAACAACCACAAAGTAACCGAAATTTGTCGACGATCTGGCCATTCATACTCTCAAACCCGACTTATGCAAATAACGTGAATGATTAGTCGCATTAGCTTTGCCTTGGTGATTGACCTTCACTCTCTTCCGTTATTTGTGTTACTGTGTCGTATTGTCCGCTGTGATTAGCAATCTTGCATTCCTCTCACGGTTATTATCCCACTGGCTCTAAAAGAATCACTTTGACTGCAGTATATGCACGTGTACAGATTCAGCGAAACTACTATGGATACATTGTTTCTGACTTCTTTAGTCACATTTGTGACGTGAAAACAGTGTTCTCCACTTAGCGGAAACAGTTCAGTGTGTGACTAAAAGTGAATTGCAATGCAGTAAAAAGCATAGAATACAACGTGACTGTCAGCGATGCAACCAACGAAGCAATATTTTTTCACATATTGGTTTGATTTAATTAGCAGATAAAGTTTAAATTTTCCATTGCACACCCCTGCAAGATAAACAATATACAATTAGACCTCAGAGCCACGAGAACTTGCAGTGGACTCATGGAAACCAGCCAAAGAGTGATAGTTCACTTGAGGCCCCGCTGGGTTAGGTGTAGAATTTTAATGGCAATCGATTATCTACTTTTACAGTTTCCTATTTACTCGCTTCCACATATTGCCGAAGATAGGGATATTTGGAGCGTGCCATTTCAAACTGTTATAATTTAACAGTACTACCGTTGGTTCAGTTTGTCTTTATGGATTGAGACCTTGATTTTGCGATTAGAAGATATTTACCGAATAGAAGTTTTTCATTATCGGTGGAATGGAGTAAGCGGGTTATTAACCGGTAAGTCAACCATCATGTGGTTGAGAGTTCATTGGGGATATATTTGCTAACACGTCGAATGCAGATCAATAGGCTTTCTTGGTTAGGACCCTTACTGCGTATGCCCAGCTGTTGTCTACCACACCGTACTTCACTCGCTATAACTGCTACGGGATGAAGGAAATCATTCGGAGGTTGATAGATGACATGGAGCTGGTATGTGAAGAAACGCACAGAGCTATTAGGTAGATTAGATAATTCTCGTTCTAAGGTGTCCAAAAGACTGTTACTGGTTGCTTAGACAGACTGATGGATATGGCAGCGAACCGACAACACCAGCGTTCTTGTTGTCATTTACTATCAAACCAGATTGCGTGAAAAAGTATCTATGCACAGGTATATTGCGTACTCTGTGTGTTGACCACAGACGTTCACTCTCTTCTCTCTCCCTCAAAAGATGCCTAATCCATTCCCAGCTTATATATCCTCACTAAATTTGTATATATTGCTAGTTGGGCAGCGATCAGTGAAGTAGACTTCGGTCTATTTCGTTTCGCCATGATGACGATGGTGATCATGCCGATATCATGAAAAATAGTGTCTTCCATCAGTCCGGTACAAGATCATGAAAATATGATTAAGAAAAAAGACCTTTCAAGAAGATTGAGG